GGAGCTGCAGGACGTCCAGGAGCGGAGCCTGCGCGGGGAGAGCGGGAGGGCTCGGGACAACCGAAAACGGGCGAGGGGGACGGCGCTGAGCCGCGGCAGCACCCCAGGACGCGTCCCACCAATGTCTCTGCAAACCCTTGGTGCTGGCACAAGCCCTCAGTGCCGACACGAGCCCACATCAGCGTCGCATCCGCCATCTCACCACGTACCGGGGCTCCGCGCCCGCCAGCCGGCTCCTCTCCTCGTCTCCCGAGTGCCTGTCCCATCGCTCCTCTTTGTCCTCGCTGTGACTCCGATCGGAGGACGAGAGGCTGAGGTTGGAGTGAGCTGCCAGGAATTCGGAGCTGCTGTACACCTGAGGAGGAGGCGAGCCATCAGCAAGGAGCAGAAATTCGGGAATCCAGGTGCTCCGGCGTCAGCCAAGACACGGATGCTTGGCACAACCGCACCAGCCACGGCACCCGTCGTTTTGGATGCTGGCGGAGGGATCGGAGCACCTTGCTGAAGCGATGGGAGCAGGAGGAGAACTGCCCGATCTCCACGGACGATTCCTCGTCGTTGGTTTCTTCATCTTCCGAATCCAAGTGGCGGTACCTCTCGGAGCGAGCTGAAAGCAAGAGGCAGAGCAGGCAGGGCTGTCACCCTGCCTGCAACGCACCACGTCCTGCCTGCCCACCTGGCCCCGGGGGACCTGCACCCGCGGGGAGCTGTACTGTGGCTGACAGCCCAGGCTCAAGTCCCAGGAGAGTTTTGGGGTGAGAAAGTAAGGATTTTGGTAAAGCCGAGCCGCCTGGAAAGAGGACTGCGTCTGCTTCGTGACTCTGGCTTCACCCAGGAGATTTTCATCTCCCGTAGGAGCATCCGACCTGCAGCTGGGATAACGGGTTGGCAGAGGAGCGGGGAAAGGGGATGGGTTTGGTCTCACTGTCGAAGTAGCTGGTGTCGTCCTCCGACTCCAGCTGGGGGATGAACTCAGCCTTCTGCCGCAGCAGCCCGTTCCAGTCCAGGTGGAGGAAGAAGGAATGGTGCTTCACCTCGTGCGCACCTCCTGCCAGGGAGAAACCCACGTGAGGGGGACGGGGCAGGGTGCGGGGTGCTCCTGCTCCCATCCCGAACGGCACGCTCTCTCCTCCGCGCAGAGCAAATGGCTGAAAACAGGACGGGCCGGAGCCCAGCGCCGCCTTCCCGGGGTGAAGCCGGGGCGGGAGACCTCCTCCGAGTCTCCTCAAGACGGCGGGACATGCTTTGCTTTCCGAAAATGGCTTGAATTTTGGGTTCCAGGTAACTCCCCGAACGCTGCACGGGGGCTGCCACGCGTACCGGTGCCCAAGCGCTCGAGGGGACACTGTCTCAGCAACCGCGTGATCAGGTCCTGGGCGTCCGCGGGAAGAGCCTCGTCCCCCTCCGGCCACATGATTTCATCTGCGAGGAAAGGGGAAAAGGCGTCTGGAGTAGGAAACGAAGCATGGAACGAAGGAACGAAGCTCTCCTCGTGTTAAGGACGAGCCACGACTGCCGGCGTGGCTGGGAAGGGCGAACCGAGGAGCAAAGCTGCCACCGACACTCACCGCTGATGACCTGCCCGAAGAGCTCCTCGGGGGTGTCCCCGAAGAAGGGGACGCAGCCCACCAGGAACTCATAGAGGACGATGCCCATGGCCCACCAGTCGACGGGCTTCCCATAGCCTTGTATGAGGATGACTTCTGGGGCGATGTACTCCGGCGTGCCACACACCTGCGCGGGAAGCAGCGGCTGACACCTCTGCAATGACCTCTGCAACAAGTCCCGCGGCCATCCCGGTCCCTGGTGATGGCAGACCGGCCAAGCGGAGCAGGACCTCGTACCTGCTTGTCCATGAACTCCCGAGTGTCCTTCTCCATATGCCCTTCGTAGAGGTTCGTGGTCATGTTCATCAAGCCGATCTTTGACAGACCGAAGTCCGTCAGCTTTATGTGGCCCATGGAGGTGATAAGCAAACTGCAAGGGAAGACAACGCCCCACAATGACACCGTTTGCTTCTGGGGAGACCTGGGCAGGACCAGCGGGACCCCAGGACCTCTGGTCCTGGTGCAATGGCACAAACCCAGGTCTTTGGGCATCAAAACCCATGACCTCATTCTGCCTTATCCTCTTGGCTTGGATCAGTCCCTCTCCCTTCCCCATTCAAACCCAACCCCGTCCTTGCTCAGACCTGACCCGAGTCCTCACTTGTCGGGTTTCAGGTCCCGGTGGACGATGCCGTAGTTGTGGAGATACTCCAGCGCGAGAACGGTCTCGGCAAAGTACATCTTCGCCATGTCAACAGGCAGTGGGCCCATGTTCTTCAGCAACGTGGCACAATCCCCCCCTGTGGGCACACGGGTCCGTCTGAGCGCGGGGGGCTCAGAGGAGGCAGGGAGGTCACCGGGCAGGGCTGTGCTACCTCTCCTGCCAAGCAGGCTCCCAGCCAGACCCTCCCACCCCTCCTTGGAGCAGCGTTGATCCCCTGGCATGGGACACAAACACTCTCCTAGGTGAGCATGGCCACCACCTTCATCAAGGTGAGACCAGAGCGTCTCCTCATCCTTCCCTCTGCTCCCTGGAGCAAAGCAGGGCAGGAGATGTCCGGGTGGTGTCCTCAGTGCTCAGACATTGATATTTTCCCCCTCCCTCCAGCCCCGAATCCTGTTCTCACCTTCCACATATTCCATCACCATGCAGAGGTGTCGCTTCGTCTCGAAGGAGCAGAACATGCTGACCACGAAGGGGTTCTCTGCGAAGGTAAGGATGTCCCTTTCCACGAACACCTGCTGGATCTGGTTCCTCAGGATGAGGTTCTGCTTGTTGATTTTCTTCAAGGCGAAGCGCTGCCGCGTCTCCCTGTGTCTCACCAGGTACACGGCCCTAGGAGAGAGCAAAATGGCTGGACCTCAAAATATGTCCTCCAACCACCAGGACCGACCACGCAGCACTGTGGAGCTTGGACAGAGAGGACTTTGGAGATGTTTACAGATGGAGACAAGCGTTAGGAACTTCCCAACTCACCCGTAAGCCCCATTGCTGATCAGCTTGATGGTCTCAAAGTCCCCCTCACAGGGCTTCCTCCGAGGAGCGGTGGCCAAAGGCTGGCTCTGAAGAAGACATGGAAGGTTTTTCATGTTTCCCAGCGTGGCGGTGCTCTGAGTGCAGGCAGGAATTCACCGAGCACCATCACATATCACCTCCGAGTGCTCATCTCGCTGCCAGAGGACATCCCTCCCTGAGACCTCTCCAGCCACAAACCCCAAACCAGAAGACCAAGATGCTCTGCAGATCAAGAGCCCACTCTGAGCTCTGTCCACTCAAGAAGCCAGTTGAGGGACTGTGAGATGTCCTACATCTGACTGTTGAGGGACTGTGAGATGTCTACACCTGAAGACAGCAGTCGCCCCTGGGGACAACCCGAATTAACATCTCCCAGTCTAAGATAGCAGAGGAGCTGCTGCAAGGAGCTTTGGTGTAGGGTGAGGCAGGATGAAGCTGGAGGCAGCAGATGGGACACGCAGGTAGGACCACACTCACCTCACAGGCGTCATCATTCTCCGGTGTGATGGTGTTCCCGCTGTCGAAGTGATCCAGCTGGACCATTTCTGCTGAAGACAGGGATGGTTTTCACTTTCTTCATGCTCCACTCCCACCAGAATAACACCCCCACCAACCACTTTCCCTCCAAACTTGGAGATCCCGCGGAGATTTAGCCACACGCTTCGCTCGAGCTATCGTATGGAGAAATTCAGGTCATGGCATTAAGAGGTTCAATGCAAGGTTAAACATTTATATAATTCTCTTTTTTTCCATAGTCATTCCTGTGTTCTTCAGGGATTACGGTTCCCCCCCCGAGGCCCTGGCTTCCTATGGATTAAGCGTTCTTGAGCTTAATCTGCTTTGCTGAACGTGTTGGGAGCAATAACAAGGGATGTGGGGCTGGCCAGGAGACTTGGACATTGTCCTGGTCCTGCCGTGACCCACCCCATGGCACCAGCTCAGCCCTGCCAGTCCTCCTGCCACCTCCCAGTGCTCATTCACAATCGCCAGTGGCCAAACTGGGAGGCCACATTCCGCTGCAGACCTCGGGGCTACCAACCCAAGCGCTTCCCTACCCTCCAGCGGGTCCTTGACGAGTCCCAGTTGGCTGATGATGTATCGGGGAATATCGGTCTTTATTCCCTGGCCAACTTTGGCGTGTCCTTCTGCAGCTTCCAGGAGGTGGTAAAACTCCTCTGGGTCAAACTCCTGGAGGAGGAAAACCAAGCACAGTTGAGCAGTGAGACTTTCCAGAGTTAAGCCTTTCCTCTAAGGAAGGTGACATCTGTAGTTAAGGACAGGCTCTGGATGCTTGCAGGAGAAAGACAAATGCTCTTCTGTTTCTAGCATCATTCCCCCGTTGTTCCTCATGTAAAGGGTCGATAGAAAAAATAAAGCCCATGAGGTCCTTCTTCCAGCTACAGGAACCACAGCACAAAGGCGAGTGCCTTAGAAATTCAGTGCAACAGCTAAAAAAAAACCCTGAAAATGGATGAGAAAGCTTGCCAAGAAGTTCACGTCTCCCTACTCCACTAGGAAAAAACAGCCTTTCCCCTCTGAGAGATGGCTTTAATACTAGGAAGGGTCTTAGCTCCTTGCTCCAGCCTGGCCAGGATGGTGAGGAGCAGTGGTTCCCATGGTGGACCAGACAAGGCGGTGAGAAGATGCCTTGGGCCATGGAAGACAAGACCCATCAGGAGCTGCCATGTCTTACCAGGCACTCCAGAAGGCGAGCGGGGCGGGAGATGATGATCAGCAGCTTCCTCACCAGTTGGTCGATGAACTTCACCTCCTCACTCTCTGAACGCTCCTGAGCCTGCCGGAGAGGAGACAGAAACCAGGTGTCTACCAGTGGCCTCAGGAGATGACACCGGGCAGGGAACTGACCCATACTCACATCTCGGAGCATCTTTTCGAGTTTCTCCTGCAGCTCCATGAAGTAGCGGGAGGTGATGAGAGCTCCCTGGGACTTTGCCAGGCAGTCGCGGGCCAGCTCGATGATCTGGTGGTGGATGAAGCCTAGGACCCCGTCTGCCAGCGGCAGAGTGCTGCTTGGAGAGAAGTTTGTGATGGTGTCCTGCAGACGTTCTTCCATTTGGGCTGTGGCCTGCAAGGCAGAATGGATGGTGATGCCCAGGAACATGCACCCCTCCTACCATGCATCGGGTTTGGCCGGCCAGGATCTCACACCACCACCTCCTGCAGCTTCAATATCCATGTGCACATCATGGCCCCACCTGGGAGCCAGCTTCCAGCAGGCTGGAAAAGCTCCACTTAAGTCTCCAGAGACCTCTGCCTGCATGTGTGATGAGGCAGACGCGCAGGTCCCTGCCTCCCCAGCTCACGAACACGTCTCCAGTGTCCTCCAACTCCCCGCCAGTATATCTACCCAAGCATTTTATATTCCAGCACGGAGAAGAGGTTGTTCTGGAGAAGATGCTGTCAGGATGCCGTGCAGGCACTAACGTGCTCATCCTCCCCAGTCCCAGCAGTTACCTTGGGGAACCGCTCCTTGTAGACGTGGTTCATCATCACAACCTCGTTATCAAACGTTCCACTCGTCCGTCCAGGGCTGTGGAGGGAGGAAGCCAGTTGCGTTACGAGCTCCGAGTCATTTACATCTATGCAAAGAGCTACTACCGCTGCAGAGAAATTTGTCCCCTCCTCCTAACTCCCGATCCCAAGCTCATCCGAGCAGAGCCATCAGCCTCGGGCCAGCACTTCCAGCAGCATCCCTCCCACCATGCATGGACCTGGAGGTCTGTGGGACCTGGTCCAGGGAAGGTAAAGCTGCCACAAACCCAAGTCTCCAAACTCAAGTCACTTGAAAATCCAGAGCTGAGAGGCTGGTGCATCAGTCACTTGGCTTTAAAGAGCGAGCTCATCCTTCCCTTCCTCCGGATCCCACAATTTGTCACCATCGTTGCCCTTTTGCAGCTCATCAGCAAAAAAAAAAACCCAACCAAACCCCAGGGTGGACGCAGGGACCTTCACCAAACAAGGCTTCTCTCTTCCCCTCACCCAGCATTGCCTCCCTCAGGCCCCTGCCCGGCGATCCCGCTATGCAAAGAAAGTCGCAGGAGCAGCCAGCAACTCATTAACCGCTATGTAATAAATGCAGTAATTAAAACCAGACCCAAGCCGCTCGCTTCCAGCCCCAGCTCAGCCTTTGCCGTGCCGTGCCGACCGCAGAGCTGGCATCTCCTCGGTGAAAACCTCGCCACCTGCAAAGCCCTTGTCAGATAATTAATCTGATTTTAATGAAATTTCAGCCGGCGACACGCGGGGCTTCTGCTTCCCCAAGCCTGAGGCGCAAAGAGGGTTGGGAGCTTTTTCAGAGGGAAAAGAGGATTTAACCAAAACATCCTCTGCAGAAAGCTCAAGCTCCCGATGCTGGACAAGCGGAAACGTGACCGGCTCCTTGCACGGGATACGGCAACACGGAGCTCGGCAGGTCCATAGGGTCAGCCCACACGATGCTACGCCACCAGCTTGATGCTCTCCCCAAATTTTCGTCCCTGCAGCCCACAAATACCCATCCGCCTGCACTCCTTGTTTTTTTCATAGGCAAAGGCCAAGCTGATGCTCAGCCCCAGCAAACGCAGGTGATGTTTCCTGACCCAAGCCCAAAAATGCAAGGACGGCCACCGCTTGGGCTTCTGCTCAGCGGTCCCCTCCTCTCCACCAAAACCTTTGAGACGATCGAGCAAGAAGCTGCAAACCAACTATTTTGGGACGAATCCCACTTTCTCCAGCTTCAGCCCCAGGAAACCTCACTCTCAGATGTCGTCGGCTGCCAGGAGAGCAACGTCACATCCCAACAGCCGAGAAGATGCTGAGAACCAGACCTTAACACTCAAAATCACAGAGCTTAGGATCATAGAATCATTGATTCACAGAATGGTTCGGGTGGGAAGGGACCTTCGAAGGCCATGTAGGCCAACCCCCTGCCATGAGCAGGGACATCTTCACCTAGAGCAGGTCGCTCAGAGCCCCGTCCAACCTGACCCGGGGTGTTTCCAGGGATGGGGCATCCACCACCTCAAGCCATAGCTTCTCACGGGGAAAACCCGTGTCGGGGCCAACACCTTGGCACGGGCTTAGCAGGACCAGGACATCCCAGCAACGGCTCGTGATGGACGTGTCAGCACCCGGCGCATCATCCCGGTGGCACCATGGGTGCTCCCCACGGTGGGTGACGGTACCTGAGGCTCCTGGACCGTGGGCGCAGGCAGGGCGAGTGCCGCCCCTCCTCATCCGTGACGCTCTCCGTACTGCGGAAATGCTTAGAAAGGAAATGCAGCTCATCGGGGGTGGGCTGGTACGGCAGCTGGTGCAGGCGCTCCTGGGAGGACGAAGACGACTGGGAGGAAGGACAGACACGGGGGGATCAGGAGATGGGTCCGTTCTTCTCGGCAGCGGCGTGGAAACCGGCAAGCCCACGAGGAAAACCTTCCTCGGAGCCTCTTAGGAGGCTGGAAGCGCTGACGGGCAGCACGTCTCCATGCTCGGTAACGTCAAATACGGACGGGGAGGTCTGTGCCCCTGCTCTCCCGCTCAGTC